GGATAAAGCGGAGGCAGCACCTGCTGCCTCTGCTCGTGGTAATAAATGTCTTCTTGAGGACGCAGGAGAGAACAGATTCTCAGGGAGCAGCCTGAGGAAAAATCCGGGCGAAGGACATGCAGAATACGGCGGAGCAGGTGACGAGAACGAGATTTCGGGCACGAAGACTGCGGCCAAACAGCAGACACCCAGGGAGCCGATGGAGAAAGCGCCGTGCAGGAGTACGGCGGAGCAAGAGCCATGAGAGCAGAAATCAGGCATCAAAATGTGAAGCAAGAAAGCAAAGTAACCATGTATCGAGATTGTGCTAAGCATACGAATAAACACCCGCTGTCTGAGTCCGCTTCCGTGGCTGGGGTGACTCTAGATGGTAGATTACATTTTTTTCTTTTTTTTTTAAAACAAAATTTTTCTTTTGGCGGAAGCCCTATTCGTTTATTTTTAATTGATTCAAGCCATTTATACCATGGTGGCACGGGCAGAGGCACATTGCTTTATGTTCTTTTATCACTGCCTCACCATAATTTTTGTCCCCATTAGCAGCCATTGGCATGTACATTGAGAACTATCTGACAATAAACGGTTGCTACGTTATACTCGCTGGGCGTAACCTACTTGGTTTTAGAAACGTTTAGCGAGCATTGGGCCACAGCGCCATGAATACAGTGAACTGGTATATACTATGAACTCGAGGCAATTAAAGGTGGGAAGTAGACACGAAGCACAAGCCGTAAGAAAGTGTGCGTGTGCCACCTCTCGTTTAGTCCTTGGAATGCCCGATGGATGGCGGTGCTTCTATATGGGGAGTATATGATGAAAAAAAATTGCGAGATGGTGTAACTTGGAGTGTGTACTAGATGAACGAATGTACACACCGACAGATGCATGAACGGACGCACGGATGGCTGCACGGACAGATGGACGCATGGATGGATGCAAGGGTGTATGCATGGACGAACGCAGGGACGGACGCACGAACAGGCGCGCGAACGGACGAGCGGATGGACGCATGGATGGTCACACAGATGGACGCATATATGATGAAAAGATGCCAGATGGTGGTACTTGGAGCGTTGACTAGATGGACGAATGGACACACAGACAGATGCATGGACGGATGGACGCATGGACGGACTCAGGGGCGGATGCATGGACGAATGCAGAGACAGAGGCACAGATGGACGTACGAACGCACGAACAGACGCACTCATAGACGGATGGATGGACGCAGGTATGGTCATACAAACGGATGCATGGACGGACCGAAGCAAGAACGAATAGACGGACGGATGCTTCGCCCCACTCTGCATCATTCACCTCGTGGATATGCTGCCATTTTTTTTTCACTCTCCTGTGAGGTTCCTCGCTAGCACCACTGGACCATTCCGAGAAATTCAATATGATTGTTGCACTCTCCTCTGGTTTTGTACAGCCGCCATATTTATTCAGTCAAGTTCTTGCTAACCACACAATTTCATAGGCATCAGACTCTTACAACCTAATCAGCTGTGATTTTCGTTTATTTAGACCTTTCAGTCGTTGATATGCTTGAGAAAAACCTACTTATTTTCTTTTTGTACATTTTGACCAGTGCAGCTTTAGTCTACTTCCTGAATTCTTGACCGTAAAAAGGGACACGGTGTGGCAGACAGGCTAAGCCAGCCCGTACCTACTTGGTACGGTTAGGCCACAGTAATGCCTATCGTAGCTTACAAAGACGCGGGCACATGGACTTAACGAACAGCTGGTCACACACGTGAGGCCACGTCTCAATCACGTGACCTGGAGGAACATCGATGCGTCAATAGCAGAATACTTTCGAAGAAGTAATGATGCGAAATCGCTACTTGTTTATTGGCTGAGCGCAGCTCTGGATGCACGGAGCTACAGTCATCTCAGGTAAAATCACTCGCAACCTTAAATAACACGTCAGCCTTGGTTCCCTGGCCGTTCACAGCCACCGCTGGGCCTCCTACACTCAGTGTGTTTAGAAAAAGTGGTTAACAATTTAGAGTGCTAGGTACTCTACTGATGAAGAGCATAAAGCCGCCCCCGTGGGCCGCACACTTGATCAGTCCGTATTGTCAAAAATTACGGCGTGAGCGAGTCCACGCAAAAAAAAAAAACATCCACCATGGCTGATTTAATAAATGCTCATTGCGATTACGTCAGAAGGGCTTGAATTGTTTTAAATAGTTGATTTCTCTATGCAGGGACAGACCTTTCTTGCTCGTTTTAGGCCAAAACTTGAACGTCTGAGTAAATCTCGTCAAGAGTTATGACATCACCACTCAAACAGAGGTAATCTTTCAGGCTTTAACGACGAACCTTTAACTCATCGCTGTTCTTTCTGTGCATGTGAATTCTTATAAAGTAAAAAAAAAGTTGACAGATTCAACGTACCTGGCAATCGACGTTATGCGAAACATGCGGAGGAGAAGTGATCGCATTGTATTTTTTTCTATTCGACGACGCAGTATCAAAACGCTAAGTATATGAACAAAAGTGGCACGAAAAAATATATTTTTGAACAGTTCAGATCTTCATTAACCTGTCGTTTGCACTAACGCAATGATGGCAACAGGAACAAAAGTATTAGCAACACTAAAAGCGATAAGCTGTTATGAAGCGCTGGTACTCTGAAGGATGGTGCCCCGGACACTGATACATAAATCATCTTCAGCGAATGGCACCTAAGTACAATTCACGTCATCCCGACGTGACAGCTGTATCATAGGAGTACATATGTAATGTTATAAAATATAATAGCACGTCCTGCAACCAAAACTGGCCTTTCACAAGCATTAGGGTCTCTTTTGAGAACTGGCGCGGCTCATGGGTAGAATTGCCACGTGGAACACTGGGGTTCGAGTCCTGGTGGAACCCCAATATTTGTTTTTTTCATTCGTTGGGTCAACGCCGCTCATGTAAGCTTTTATTGCGATAGCAAATATATGGACACTCTCGGTTGGATTTTGTCGCTGGCGTAGGCGTGGGCGTCGACGTGGGCGTCGACGTAGTCGGTGTCGATGTCATTCACCGTATACGTATGCCTATCTACATATATGAAATCTCAAGAAATAAAAAAAATCACAGAAAAAACATGGCCCGGCATCTGCATGTTTCGCAGCAAGTGTCGTCGAAAAACGTTAGTCTTGCATCTCGAGAGAGGGAACAAAACGTTTATTTGATGTTCCGCGCTAGAAAATCAGTGAATTGTATTCTGGAGGCGCTGCGTAAGGGAGTCTCTATCCGTGTAGCGAAGGCGAACGAGCGCATCGAGGCACGTTAGACACGAGCGCCATCTTGCAGTTATCGTCGAAAAGGAAGGAAGGCGTGCGCGGCTGACTCAGAGGTGATAAGGTGTAGAACGCAAAGCGACGGGCAGGTGCCACCACCGTGTTGTCTTGGCAAAGAGTTTGAAACACTTGCCTCCTTTAGCATCGCGTTGCATTGTCAGCGCAGTTGATAAACACTATGGTCCTTAGAATTACCTATGTTTGCCTTCTCTAGTATAAAAAACACAAACAAAATATTTACGTGTTGTTATGGTGCCTCAGATATGCGCAATATTGATTTTTAATTGACAATCGCACAAGCATGAACGCTTAAACTCAGTGAGCAATATTGGTGGGTGCTGCGGATGGCATTGGCCGTTTGGGGCATCGTTTGGGTAATCGTTACGGCGCACAAACAGACAAATGTACAGACAGATATGATGACAGACATATTAAATTTCTTGCGTCGAAGTACCTTAATAAAGACTATTGTCTTCAAAAAGACTCCGGCGTGCGGAATCGAACGTGTGACATCCGCGCTGTCAATGCGAAGCGTTAACCACTGAGCCACCGAGAGGTACCTTCCCCAACTTTCAAACGGCAAGCTATTCATATCTACCACTTGCCGCTGTTAGCGGGCATTTCGGTGGGAACTATTGTGTTTTCATAATTATCAACAAGATGGCGCAGCGAGCGCGCTGCGGCTCTCGTCTCTCACGCGTACTTTGGCCCGCATAGAGAATAAGGGGGTGTACGCTCGATAGCTCGATCGGGAGAATCGTACGTCTTGGCTAGCCTTCGGGTTTGCCGAAACGATTCTGTTGTAGTTATCTGGCGCAAAAAGGTCACTGCAATCGTTGCACAGCCTCCGTTTGCAAAAAGGGCGCGCTTTTCAGACACAACGAAGTAACAACTGAGACGCTTATTAGCGTTCATCTGTACCTGTGAGTACGTTTCGTGCGTCATTTGAGCGCGCAAAACGCGGGGCACGTTTCGATATGCTTGCCATTCTGTGCGTGACCTTCAAATTTCTTGCTATTGTGTTCATTCCTTGGCCTTTGCGGCGAAGCTGTAACTTTTTTCTTAACGCTCACGCACTAAAATTACGTACCCGTGTGTGTTCTCGCCGTTCCTCCGCAGATACTAAGTGTCAGTCACATGTGGCACATACCCGCATACCAGTGGTACATACCTGCCCGTATGTATGTGCCACTGTCTGGGAGAGAGTATTCAACGACATACACGACGAGATTGCGATATTATGCATGTCTTGACTAGTGCATAGAATTCGTTTATCCATCTTACCCTCCCATACTAGTTTTGATTCATGCCAAAGGAGTGATCACGAGGGCACCCAGACGTAAGCAAGTTGAAAGATAGACAGATAGATAGATAAATAGATAGATAGATAGATGGATAGATGCCAAGAATCCTTGGAATATACGCAAAAAAAAAAGGTCGGCATCGAAAAAATAAAGCACTAGGCGCCAAATAGTAGCGTTGAGGTGCGCATTATCATCCACCTGAAAATTTCTCTAGTGTCAGGGGTAGTTGAACCACGTGGTAGACGTTTCATTATGAATCACGTGATAAATGTTTGCAGCATAAGGGGTCCTGTTATTTATTTCTCAAATGTCGCTGTCACAGTGTAGTGAAAAAACACAAGAGCCTCACGGCTGTTACATTACTGTGATCGCCACGTGCTTTTATTTATTCACTTACTTTGGTGCTCCCTTACTGGGCAGCGAGGGTCGTAGTACTGACATGCTACAAGAGCGGCCAGTGCTGCAAGTTGGATGACTAATGCTGAAATCATTATCCCTAGGGGCAATGTTATGTTTTCTACCTGAAAGAGACATATATAGTGCCAGTATTCGTGAAATTGGACTAAATAGCAAGAATAGTATATAAACTTTTATTTTTGTCTGAGCTTAACACCTCTGTTTAAAACAAACGAGCATTAATGCAAGTATTATCAATTTTTGTTTCTGAACCATATCACCATAAGTATATGAAGAGATATTTGGTTGAGTTGAGAACTCAGCGTCGTTAGCTGAGTGATATCAACAGGCTGGCGGTATTATGCAAGCAACCTTCTATGTACTCCTGTACTCCAGTAAGTGGTGCGATACGTGACAAATTATAAAATATTGATATGAATACGCAATCAACAACTTCCAGTTACCTTGCAACAAGTTCAATATCGTCTCGTTCATATGTATCGTACAAAAGTTTGTAGTTAGATCTATTACTTCATTTGTGGTATAAGTCCACTGTATGGCCGGGCAAGATATTCGACTGAAGGTAATAGCGTGTGGACGCATTTGTCCACAAAATCAGGCCTTACGGTTTGATTGCTACTGAAATCTTGTTGATTTTGTGATCACCGAAACACATTCTAGACAACAGTATTTCTGCATAAGCTTTGCGGAGGTTGTTTAAGTGTGTAATTCTCTCGCCTCTTGCTAACCGCGGTCATTTCTTGTAAGTGAGGCGAGGCCTCCACAGATCTTCAGTATGTGTGATAATTTCACCTGGTGTAAAATGGTCATAAAGAATATACAGGCAATAATAAGCACTGTTTCGGAGTTACCACTCCGAAATCTAAATTATTCTGGAATTATTCCACTTTTTCGCGACCTCGGAATGGAGAGGGAATGGAATGGCAATAAATTTTAGAGGAATGGTATAGAATTAGAAGTATCTTAAACGGAATATAATGAGAATACAATTTTGTCTTTTTCCATAAATTGAGGACATTTTTGTCGAGTTGCTCGTTTTACAAACTTCGATCATTAGTAAGTGAGACCGTCAAATCTAGAAATAAAGGAGTAACTTTTTGCAATCCTTTCCCCTCTGTCTACACGAATGGGCGCTTTTGCTCGGAATTCTATTGCTAAGATGTGTAGGTCAGTGCAACACACATTTGTGCACAATGAACTGTCTGTGCGATGAACTGTTGTACAAGCAGAATCGTGCAGAGAAAGATAAAATAGACTTTTGAAAGCATTAATTCGGGTGACCCACAGAACCAAGACGGCGTCTCCCCGGATCCCTACACGACAATTCGCTATGTCGTCAATTCAGCATTAAAACATTTAGGATTAAACGATAATAAAACGTCACCGTTCGTTCAAACTTGCACACTTATGAAAAAAGGTCTGCATATTCCCTAACTAAATGGTGAGCGTCTACTTCGCATGAAAAGCACTAACTTCCTAGTAAGTTAAGGTAGTAAAATGCAGATTAGTGAAACTTGCTAGTTTGGTTAGTAGTTAGAATAGTGCTGACGCGAATATTTATTATACATTACGGAATTTTCAGTTAACCAACATCTATATGTGTATGTACCTTGGCACATCATGACACTTCTGTTACAGAAGCAATATATATATATATATATATATATATATATATATATATATATATATATATATATATATATATATATATAAATATATCTATATATATAGGATAACAGGCGAAGCGTCATTGTCTCCGTAGTTTGATTAGTAATCACTAATTATTCAATGTAATTACCATGGTGATGAAGCATCACAGAAACATACATTGAGGCATGAATGAATCTCAGACGAGGACATACACGTGAACGTGCCCATAGACTAGCAAGACTTGGCCGGTATCTACTGTAGCAGCCGTTTGAAGGCTATTTATACTCATACTTTGGAATAGTACACTGTGTACTGCTTAGAAGTTATAGAATTTAGAAAATTTAATGGACATGTTGTACACGTCATCGTCTGCCCTTCTATTTGCATGCATGTGTGTCATAAGTCATCACTCAGTGGAAAATATTTAAACCGAAGTAATTGACACGGTTGGTCTCAACTTTTCTGAAGTGTGTCACGCATACTGCAAGATATACAGTGACGAGAGGTCTAGCAACGTAAGTGGCTTAGAAGTTACCTAGATAAGAAGACCAAAAATCATTATTGATTAGGAATGGCAAACATTTCAAGCCTTGCCAGCTGCTGGCTATAGTGATGAGAAGCAGAAAATGTGAAATTCATTCAAAAGATGTAACTACATTCGTTTCCAACTGTTTATTAACTTTTTTTTCTCCTAAGATTGTGCTGAGCATGGGAATACTATAGGTAGCTGGACAAGTGCTGCTGAGGAAACTAATAGTGTGGTTGTACTGCACGAGGTGTTTTTAAGCTACTATCTCTCGATTATCGTAACGTGTTTTTCGTAGTTTTGCAGTTTTTAATGCATCTGATGACATCAGATGCATCAAAACTGCATTATGTTGCTACAATCATTCTTACCTCGACAAAGATATTGAGAGCCCTACTGCGATGATATAGTGGATAAGGTACTCGGCTGCAGACCCGCAGGTCGAGGAATCGAATCCCGGCTGGGGCGACTGCGATTTCGATGGAGGCAGAAACGCTGTAGACGCGTGTGCTCAGATTTGGGTGCAGGTTAAAGGAACCCAGAGGGTGAAAATTTCCGAAGCCCTCCACTGTGGCGTCTCTCATATACATATTGTGACGATCGAACGCGTTTATTTACAAGATGGGTAACGCAGAGGTGTAGCTCAGCGAAGGATCCACAGCGTCGCTCGCGAGCCAGTCGAGTCTCTTCCTCCTCTTCGTCGAATCTTCACTAGCGCTTTTCACTTCCCGGTTCGCAGACGATGCCCTCTGGGCGAGTCACTCAGATGGTTGATGGTGGCACGGTTTAAGGCACGCAACGTGTGTCAGTTGTGTTTTGCTAGAGCGGCGACAATTGCTTGTGACGCTCGAGATTACGTACGTGACGTCGCTGAGGCGGTCAAGAATGACGAATGGACCGGAATAGTGAGCCAAGAACTTCTGGCACAAACCACGTTTGCGGACTGGTGTCCATAACCACACAAGATCGCCCTTACTATAAGATACGGAGTGATGGCAGGCGTCGTAACGTTTCTTAGAACGCTGCTGGGATGTCAAGGTTCGGAGGCGTGCGATGCGACGGGCTTTTTCTGCGCGGCAGAGCGTCTCGGCTGTCGAGGTTTCCACGTCTAGTGTAAAAGGTAGTATATTGTCGAGACAAAGTCGTGGGGAGCGAGCGTACAGCAGGTAAAATGGAGAGTAACCTGTAGTTTCATGCTTCGCGGTATTGTACGCGTACGTGATGTAAGGTAGCACTGCGTCCCAGTTTTTGTGCCTAGAATCGACATAAATAGACAGCATGTTCGTGAGAGTCCGGTCCGTGCGCTCTACGAGACCATTGGTCTGCGGGTGATATGGTGTGGCTTGGCGGAAATGGCAGGCAGACAGACGCAGGATCTCTTCAACGACGTCCGTGGTCGCTAATGACAACGCGTGGAGGACCATGGCGGAGAATTATACAGCGAATCATAAACTGCGACACGTGCATGGCCGTTGCAGCAGGTATTGCAGCAGTTTCTGCGTAGCGCGTTAGGTCGTCAACGCAGACGACGACCCATCGATTGTTACGGCTCGATCGTGGAAATGGACCGAGCAGATCGACACCAACAGTCTCGAAGGGAGAGTTAGGAGGTGGACCAGGATGGAGAAGTCCTGGCGGCGTAGCCGTGGGACGTTTGGGTCGTTGGCATTGTTCGCATCCAGCAACGTAATTTTCCGTGTCGTGTCGCATTTTGGGCCAATAGAACCTTTGCTGGATTCGTTGAAGCGTTCTGGCGAAGCCCATGTGGCCGCAAGTTGCGTCGTCGTGTAAGGACCGAAAGACGTGAGCCCGTAAAGTGCGTGGAACAACTAGAAGCAGACGGGTGCCTTGTCCGGAATAATTCTTCTTGTAAAGGACGCCGTCATGAACCACGAAAGAGCTTGGGTTTGCGTGTTCATTTGCGGAGGCGAACAGAGAATCTAAGGAGCGGTCCTCTTGTTGGGCTGTCCGGAAAGTCGCGAGATCAGGGAACTCAGAGGCAATAGCGCCGATATACTGGTCGAAGTTGTCAGCGTCGCACTCCGTCGTCGGTAGAGGAAGGCGCGATAGGCAGTCGGCGTCTGCGTGCCGGTTACCGCTCTTGTAGCGTACTGTGAAGTCGAACTCCTGTAAGCGCAAAGCCCATCGCGCCAGTCGTCCAGATGGGTCTCGGAGGCCTACCAACCAGCATAGAGAATGATGGTCGGTGATTACCGAGAAGCGACGGCCGTAGATGTATGGGCGAAACTTGTGCACGGCGAAAACGACTGCGAGGCACTCCTGTTCCGTGACTGTGTAATTTCGTTCTGCCTTGCTCAACGAACGACTCGCGAAAGCGACCACGTGTTCAGTATTGTCATGGCGCTGAACGAGCACTGCACCAAGGCCGATTCCACTGGCATCTGTGTGAATTTCCGTTTCAGCAGAAGGATCGAAATGGCGTAGTACCGGTCCTGAAGTCAGTATGAACCGAAGCTGCTTAAAGGCTGCTTCGCAATCCGGTGTCCAGTGGAAAGGGACATTCTTTTGCAGCAAGTCAGTCAGTGGTTGTGCTTTATCAGCGAAATTCGGAACAAATCGAAGAAAGTAAGAACACAGGCCCAGGAAGCTACGCAACTCCCTGGGGGACTGCGGCTGCTTGAAGTTGCTGACAGCGGTGACTTTGTGCGGGTCTGTTCTCACGCCATTTTTATCCACCAGGTGTCCCAGAACCAAGGTTTCACGCTACTTAGATTCTCTGTTCGCCTCCGCAAATGAACACGCAAACCCAAGCTCTTTCGTGGTTCATGACGGCGTCCTTTACAAGAAGAATTATTCCGGACAAGGCACCCGTCTGCTTCTAGTTGTTCCACGCACTTTTGAGCGCTCCGGATCGACTGCGCAGATAAGTGTTGTTGCATGTTTTGAGCT